GAAAGAGTGTGGGTCTTTTACAAGACCATGTTCCAAGTCAAAGTCATCTCCTGCAGCAACAAACAATACCTGCTCAAGATAGGCTGTCTAATCGACACCTCAGAGAGCTGAACTGACACCCAAGAGCCAGGCTACAATCACAGTACCACAGTGCCCAGCTGTTCCACAATTGCATCAAGAGGCCCTGTCCATTTCACACACCTTTGAGGGTGTCAGACTGGTGTGAAGAGACAGGAGGTTGTTCTGTTGCATCCTTTGGAATTAATTCAATATTCTCCCATCCAATTTCCAGAAATGGGAGAACATGTCCACATTTTTAACACATCCTCAGGTTGAGCCAGGAAATTTACAGAAAAGTAAGAAACATGTTGCAAAGAATCCATGCTGATTTGTTTGGATCTCTTAAAAGAACCAACTGAATGAGTTGTACCATTCTGTTCGTATGCCTCCAAAACAAATAAGGCAACCAGAACAACTTAAAACAATTAGAAAGAATAAAGAAAAATACATTTTCTCCAGAGCTGAAGATGGTGTAATAAAAATTCATAAAACCACCCATATAAATCAGCAGAATTTCAGTATGTCCTTATTTCTACAGGATGCCATTTTCTAGTGTAAATTCCCTGATCCTTCGAGCACACTGATTGCTCGGATCAAGGACACACGCAAACCAGCAAAATAATGTGTTTTAAACTGCTGTATCCGGCACTCTGATGTTGGGGGGGGGGGGATGAACAAATCCACTCAAGAATTGTGATGCATCTTTCCTGACTAAATGAACAAAAAGAAAAGACAATTTAAAGATGATTTAGGGATCATGTCAAATCTCTCTTTAGGGCACAGTTCAGGAACGAGATTGAGATACAAACTGCTTTGGAGCCTCGGTTAAAATGAGGGCTTAAGAAAAAACATAAATCACTCCTTGCTTTATCTGGTGTAATACCCGTTCTTGGAAGGGTCAGGAACTCATCCAGCACCAGAAAGCTGCTTATTCCTGGTAATGGTTAAAGGTCAGAAGCAGGAGAAAAAACGGCCCGGTTTCAAGCAGCAATATCTGTGCTGCAGGGGCTCAACTGTACTGGTTTCAGTCACTGGGCAGTTCTTTCAGAATCAAGGCGAGGTCACACCACCTTGACCTTAGCTATTTAAAGCCGCAGTTAACTTTAAAAAGAAACCGGAACAAGACTTTATAATGGAACTCGGAAGACAACGCTAATTACGTTACTCTTCCTTCCTCCCTCTTTTCCATAGCAGCCAGTGATAGAATTAAAGGACCAGGGCATGGTGATGTACTTTGTCAATAATACTGTCAGTATTAAGAAAGTAAAATGTGCTTGTTGGCAGAATTAATCCTGGTTCATTTTTGGTCAGCATATTCGCAATCCTAGCAAAAGACTTACAGAAACTCACACACAACACACTCCTTGCTGGGCGGGAACAAAACCTTTAGGAATCTTGACTGACAATGACAGCTACCTTACCTGTTAAGGTCGGAGGTCAGAGAGCAGATGCAGACTGAGCACTGATGGGAGAGAAGGTTAGAAAGTGCTTGAACTGAATGTTTCAAAAGGCCCAAACCTTCTGTCAAAGGTATGAATCAATTAAACCACTGAGCACTCTCAGATTAGAACCAGGCTTTAGTGATGACCTAATAAAGGAAAAATCAAAAGCAAAATGCCTTAAAGAGCGTTTATTTTGTCAACTAGCATTTTTCTCCTGCTGGGCTCTCTGCATGGTTTTGAAAAAGTGGCACTCTATAATGACTTGATTGGTTAACATGATCACAGAGTTTCACTCTGTTGCACAACATACAGAAAAACAGTTCACATGTGGGGCGAATTTTGAAAAAATATGCATGAACAAAATACCCTGCTGTGTTTGAGAGAAATACTCTCCATGTGAGCAAACCAACATTTTTTAGCAGACAAAGCACGCTGCTTGAGACAGATCCCTTTTAGAGACGGTAACTGTGAGTTTCTGTTATAAGGACTTGTCAGACCCGGGCAGAGCAGTTCATAATGTTAGTTAGGCACGATTATGTCGTAGGTACACAATGCTTTGGAATTAAGTCAACCTCACCAGTGTTTTTAACTAAAGAAGAACTCTGATCGTGGTTTAAAAAAAAGCAGGCGATGTATAACAGTTTGTCACTAGAGTTGGATAAAATGCATAGACGAAGCAGTTTCTCTGTTAAAAGAAGTACAGTATATATTTATCTGCTTTACAACATTTCCTACCTAAACCAGAGAATCTACAAGTCCCATACTATCACTGCCTAGACTGTGTCCTGCAGGGACACCACTGAGATTAATAAATAAAGTCTGAGGAGCCTGTTGGTGGAGGTTTGGTGGTAACCATGGGTAATTGGGTCCTGAGGTGACAGCCCTTGGCCCAGTGTGGCAAAGTGGACCAGGGGTCTTCCGTGC